GCCCCGGGAAGCAGGACTGGGTGGTGGGGCCCACAGCACCCTGGTGCCCCACTGTCATCAGCTTTGTCCAGGCCCTGAGGAAACCTCGGCTCCGCAACCCGGGGCACCCCGAGATGCAGGCACACCGGGGAGGCCCCGAGGGGCTGCAGACCCACACCTCCTACCTGGAGTCCCCTGTGAGGCACCCTAGACGGCACCAAGGTCGTGGGTGCTGTGGGGCCAGAGGGAGCCCCCGTTGGGGTCTCAGTTTGGGGGTGTTTGCTGGGGAAGGGCTTCTGCAGTGGCCCAGGACCCAACACAGCCTGCAGGGCTGCAGCTGCCCCCCCTCTGTCCCGCGGAGTCACCGCTGAGGACCCAGAACCCAGTGCCTGGCCACCCGCCCACCAGGTCTGGGTGCAGGGCTGGCCGGACGTGCCCCTCCCACCCGGCCCCAGATGCTCAGGACCACTCCAGGCTGTGGGGCCAGCGCCGTCCCGCCTCTACCCCAGGACGCAGCCCCGAGGGCCACCTCTACCGGTGAGCCCCAGGCAGGAGCAGGCAGGCGGGTCCCCGGCTGTACCGGCCCCCGCACATCCGGGCTCGGCCACCTCCCACCCGTCCCACAGCCGCCAAGAGGCCGCCGTGGGCTCTGGTGACCCGGTGTCCAGGCAGATTTTGTGGCTCTTGACGCTGACGTCCCGGAACAAGCAAGCACCACCTGTAGCCCAGACGTCCAGGGCTAGTGGGGTGTGGACCCCGGAGCAGGAGCCTGGCCCCCCACTGCCCGGCAGCTCCCTGTCCTGCAGGGGCAGGCTGTGTAGACCTCCGAGCCCCCCTCCATCCACCGCGGTACCCAGGTGCCACCCAGATGCCACTGGACCCGAGTCTCCACGTGCCTCCCGGCTGGGGACCAAAACCTCGGTCCCTGCTGCACCCAGCTGCAAGCCCCGACGCGGGCCTCGGTGGCTGCGGGGCCTGGACAGTCTGACTCAGGGCTGCTGAGGTGGCTTGTGGCTCTGACGCAGCTTCCTGAGCCCCGCAGGGCCAGGCTCGGGCCGCAGGAGGTGGGGCGCGGGCAGTGGGAGCGGGGGGGGGGGGGAGGCTGCTCCCAGCAGGAGGGTGCAGCCCCCTGCCGTCCCGCAGGCCAGGGGACCCCAGAGCAGCACCAGGTCGTCTTGGGGGTCGCCTGGAGCCACTCATCGAGGGCGCTTCCCACTCTTCATGTGCCCCCTCCTGGGGAACCTGGGGCAAGGCCAGGGGTGCACCCCGAGGGCCTCCGCAGAACCCTCCACAGGAGGCCAGTGTGGCTGCCGCAGGATGTTGCGGCTCCGCCAACCGCCTGCGTGACGCAACACCCCCCAGAGAGGAACTGCGCATCCACAATGACGGCAGCACAGCTCGGGGCTGGAGGGAACAAGGCCCACGTCTTCACTTGCCGACGGGCGGGGGAGCTGGGGGGCGGGGGGACTGGGGGCCCTCGCGTCACCCCTGAGCACCCCGTGCCGCAGTGGCCCACCCTGAGCCTGCTGGGTGCAGGGGCCCTGGGGGCGCTGGGGGCACTGGGCAGCGGGTCACGGGGCCTCCAGCTGTCCCAGGGGCTCCAGCCTGGCCACCTTCATGTGCAGAACCTGAGAACACGCGGGTCCGAGGGGCGCCGGCACCCCGGGAGCGCCCCGGCACCTGCGCGCAGCCTCAGCCCAGGCCGACAGCGGCGTGAGCACCACGGGTGACGGGTGACCGTGCAGCGGGGGGTTCTGGGCAGCGGGAAGGGAGTCGGGGCGCAGGACACAGAGGAAGGGGTGGTCACGGGAGGGGCGGGCGCTCCCCCTCACCCTGTGTTCCAGGGCCCGGCTGGCGGGAGCTGCGCCCTGGGCCGCGGCCGGGGGCTGGGGCAGGCTCCGCTCGGCTCCGCTCGGCTCATGGGCGCCGGACGCTGCACGGCAGGGGTGCGCGGCGGCCGCGGCACGTGCTCAGCCTGCTTCCAAGAGTCAGCAGCCCACGAGGACGCCCGCCCCGCCCGCGCCCGCGCCCGCGCCCCCGCCCCGCCTCAGCACAACGTCCCCCGCGGGAAGCACAGGCCCAGACAATGCCCCGGGCCGAGAGGAGGCAACGGTGCGTCTGCCGCAAACCCCCAAGAGAAGTGAGTGGTGCCAGGGCCTCAGTCCCCCCGCGGCGGCAGCTGGTGGGGGCGGGGGTCGGCACCTCCGCAGACGGAGCCCCCACCTCGCCCGCCGTCCACAGGGGCCACGCAGGCCGCTGCTCCTGGGACTCGATCTTCCCTCTGCGAGAGCGTTCGTGGGCAACAACCCCACCAGCGGCCAGTGGGCTGCTCCCCGCGGGTCCGCTTGCACCGGGGCCCATCACCTCCTCTCCGCGCTCAGCACACTTCCCGCTTCCTCCAGGAACCGGCTCATCAGGATCTGGGGTCCCCGAGGGGACCGGGCTGGCTCCTCCGACCTGACCCCCGACTTCTGGGCCCGCACACCCACCCTCCCTGCGGCCTCGTGGGCCCAGAACCAGGGACCCTCAGTGCAGGGGCACAGGGAGCAGGCGTGTGGCATGGGGGCTGCTCTCTGGCCCTGACGGCCCCAGCACGCACAGGTGGGGGCACCTGTGCCCGGCTGTGACCCCCGGGGCTCCTGGGCTTTGGTAACTGGTGAGGAGTCCCGGGGGGGCGGGGCAGTGCAGGCCCACCAGACTCCGCTCCTTGCTTCTGGAATATTCCATAGTTGAGATGTTTTCCTGGAAGGGAAGGCGCCCCTTCTGCTCCCCGAGAGGCACCCGGGTCCCTGTACCTTGACCACCCCCTGCAGCACCCCCAGCGCCTGCTCCTTTTGCTCTAGCAGCTCCTGCACCCCCCGTGTCCGGGTGCTCCCAGGGCCCCCTGGCTGGGTCCCCACTGGAAGGCAAACAGCCAGCCTTTAACCCGGAGGCTGGGGGGGGGGAGTTGGGGGGGGGAACGCGGGCGTCGTGGGCAGGGCCCCACCCTGTGCACACACAGTGGCCTGTCTTCTCCAGAGTCTGTGACTCCAAAGAGTCTTTGCACAGGAGGGTGCAGGGCAGGCCTGTGACATAGCAGACGCACCAGCTCAGAGAAGAGCCTGGCGCGGCAGCCACGCGGGGGGGTGGGGGGGTGGGGGGGCAGGCATGGAGCCCAGAGGCACCACGCAGGCTGGGTCTGCATGCTCTGGATGGCTCCTGCACAGCCTGAGGCCGGGGCCGTGGGCTCCCTCGGGAAGCGGCAGCCTGGTGGCCTCGCAGCCAGGAGTCCCCTTGCTGTCCCCTGAGCGAGGACCTGCCTGCTGCAGGTGTGAACCCCAGAGCCACGGGCCTCACCCCTCGGACCCTGCCCCTCCGGGCACCTGGGTACTACCGGTGAGCACGGAGGCGGTGAGGTCCGCCCACGGCCTGTCGGCACTGGCACCGTGGGGTCCCGGGCCCTGCGAGGATTTTAAAGGGTGCACAGTGAGGGGCGGCCAGCGAGGGGCGGGCACCGGCCCATCACTCCTGCTGCCAACACACCTGCCTGGGTTTCTAGTCACAGCCTCGGGTCGGGGGACAAATGGGACGGGAGACAGCCCGGCCCGGCCCAGCCTGGCAGCGGACGTTCTGCACAGAGTCTGCACGGCCCTGGGGCGGGCGGGTCAGGCCCGGGAAGGGCCAAGGGCTGGGGCTGCGCTGCCGTCTGCAGCCCAGGGCTTCACCCCACTTCCTGGCAGAGAGCCACACCCCAGCATGACCCATGCGGCCGGGTCAGAGGTCGTGCGCCCGCCGGCCGGTCCCCGCAGGCCCGGGCCCCAGAGCCCCCTGGGCAGCCTGAGGGACGCAGGGGCCCTGACCCTGCTCCCCACTGCGGCCCCGATGCAGTCCTGGGTCCCGCGCACGTCATCCTGCTGTCACTTCCTCAGGGTCCCCGTCCTTGCCCGCCAGGGCCGCTGCTTAGGCTCTTTGACCTGCCCCAGCGGAAGGGCCCGCTCACTGCCCTGCCTCCGTGCCCCAGAACGACTGCTGGGCCGGCGGGTGAGACTGGCGCCCGGGCGCGAGCAGGGAGCCGGGAGGCTGCAGGGCCAGCGGGCCAGGGAGGGGGCGCCCTGCCTCGAGGACGCTCCAGGTCTGTGTTGCAGGCGGGACGTGCCTGTGCAGGTCGACGGGCCGCGAGCATCACCGCAGCGGCAGGGGTGCGAGCTCAGCGCGGCGCGGAGCCTGGCATCCACCCCCTTCCACCCGGGGCAGTGCCCGCGACCCCTGGGCAGAGGGGGCCGGAGACCCAGCGCGGCGCGGGTGCCCCGGGGAGGAGCGGCTGCGGGGGGAGCCCGGGCTGTGCCACGGCAGGGAGGCCGCGAGCCGGGCCGCCGGGTCTGACCGCCGGGCGCCCCCTGCGTCCGGGAGCGAGCGCCCTCGCCGCCGTCGCTGAGGTCCCGGGCCGGGCGGTGCTGCGGGCGGTGAGCGGGAGCCGGTCCAGCCGGGCGCGGAGGCCGCGGAGGCCGCGGAGGGCGCCGGGCGGCGGCGGGGACTGCGCGCTCGGCCTGGCGGCGCCCAGCATGGGACGGGCCGGGCTGTTGGGGCCGTTGCTAGGAGACGGCGCCCGCACAGCCCTGGGAGCCGGAAGGGGCGGGGCGACGGGCCGGGCTGTTGGGGCCGTTGCCAGGAGACGGCTCCCGGAAGGGGCGGGGCGACGGGCCGGGCTGTTGGGGCCGTTGCCAGGAGACGGCGCCCGCAGAGCCCAGGAAGCCGGAAGGGGCGGGGCGACGGGCCGGGCTGTTGGGCCCGTTGCCAGGAGACGGCGCCCAGAAGGGCGGGACCGCCAGCCGTTCCCTCGGGCCCCCGGGCCGCCGCCATCGGGTGGGGGAGGGGCCCTGCTCGAGTCGCGGCGGGAAGGAGCGAGTTCACGAGCTCGAACTCCGCGTAGTGTAGCACACACACTCTTCCATCGATTTATTTATTTTTATTTATTTATTTTTTATTATTTTTTTATTTATGATAGTCACAGAGAGAGAGAGAGAGAGAGAGAGAGAGGCAGAGACACAGGCAGAGGGAGAAGCAGGCTCCATGCACCGGGAGCCCGACGTGGGATTCGATCCCGGGTCTCCAGGATCGCGCCCTGGGCCAAAGGCAGGCGCCAAACCGCTGCGCCACCCAGGGATCCCTCTTCCATCGATTTAATAACAATTTCCCATTACTTAGAACTTGATCAATAACTTAATCAGAAAATATTTTTCAACGCAGTTTCAGCCTGGCCGCAGGTGCCCCTGGAGGGAGGGCCGGGTCCCGAGTAGGGGTGCAGCAGGGGCGCGGCCGGGGTCCCGGGTAGGGGTGCAGCAGAGACGCGGCCGCCGCCTCGGCTCTTCCGTCAGCACTTCTCCGGGCTGACCTGTCCGGGGGCGGGGCGGGGGCCCAGGCCGGGCGAGGCCCCTTCAGCAGACGCAGCAGCAGCTCCCGCTCAGGCCCGTCACCTCCTCTGCACCCGGGGCTTCAGAGCCACCTTGGGAGGACCCCCGCCCTGGGAGGAGGAGACAGCGGGTGATGCTAACATGCATGTGCTCCCAGGAGCCGCTTTAAAGCCTCTGGAAATGCGGGTCACGGCTCAGCAACAGGTGTCACCCGTGTCCCCAGCGAGGCCATGTTAAAGCTGGCGGACAGTGAGTGTCCCCCACAGGGCGGTGCCCCCGCCCCAGTCAGTCAGCCCGGGAGACCCAGCGCCCTGGGAGGGAGGCTTACCTGTGAGGCACCAGGATTGGCAGCTCCAGTCCCGGGCTTGACCGGGGGCACCGGGGGTGGTAAGGTCGCCTTGACAACCTGGAGGACAGACCGGGACACTCAGACACCGTCTCACGCCCCCGTGTCCCGAGCAGGCTCTGCTCCTGGCCACCCCGCAGGCTTCTCAACAAGGTGCCCCCAACACACTCCCCAGCCCGTGGCTGCGCCGGGGACAGAACCGAACCCCATTCCGGGGCCTATCCCCCGACCTACCTCACTGCCCCCTCCTCTCCCCAGTGTTTCCCAAGAAAAGCTCTTAAATGGCCAGAATGTGGGTCTTTGGAAGTTCAAGAGCCAAGAATTAACTACTGAACTTTGCATGTTTGTATTTCAGGTTTTGGGGGTGGTGGGGTGGAACCAGGGAAGGCCCACCCCGGGGCACTGGCCACCCCACCCCTGCCCCAGGGAAGACCCTCGGTGTGCACAGCTCCCTTGTAGCCTTGACCACCACCACTCATTGGCCAGACCCCTTTCTGCCCCGTGGTCCCCATTTGTCCTGTCAAAGTCCCTCTAACCCTATTTTTGCAGCTTTTTAGTACGTCTAAAATGAGTTTAGGGCCTCCAGACACAGGCGGACCCTGGAGGTCACAGAGGAAGGAGTCATCTGCTGAGCATCTCTCAAAACATCTCTAGAAATCAGGTCCAAAGGGAAGCAGAGGACTTCATGGCGGAGGAGCCGCACACACAGCAGGGTCCGGCCATGGAGGGCCCCCACGACCATAGAGGGGCCCAGGCGCAGGGGTGGGTGGGGGGAGTCTCCCAAGTGGCCCAGGCTTCTCACCTGCTTGGGCTTCAGCTCAGGGAGGGGCGCGGCAGGAGGAGCAGGCCTGGGCTGGTGGGAGGGAGGAGAGCAGTCAGGTCCCCTGGGCACCCGGGTTTCTTTAGCAGATGTCCTCTCGGACAGCACCATCGACCAGCCCAGCCCATGGGGCAGCCGCAGCCCTGGGGTCCCCGGCTCAGCACATCCAGCCCCCAGCCCCTGCACTCCCCACCTCAGACCCACTGGGAACCCCCGATGGCCTGGCTGCCGGGCCCCCTGTGGCTCACCTGCTGTGGGGGCGGCCGGGTGTACACAGGAACCGTGAAGGCGGGGTTGCACAAGGTGGCTGAAGGCTGCGGGGAGCAGGGGCAGGAGCCTGGGTCTCACAGGGAGCAGCGCCCCCAGCTCGGGACGCAAGGCTCCCACCCTCCCAGGGCGAATAAACTGCGTGCAATGCACCGCCCCGCCCCACTGCCCAGCAGGGCCCAGCCCAGGTGCGACCCCCACACCCCCTCCCTCAGCCTTGTGGAGGGGGCTCAGGTGCTGGGCAGCAACAGAGGGCGTCTGGGCCTTAACACCTCCCGACTGACCCTGCAGAGGCCGAGAGCCTCCCGACCAGGTTCAAGCTCCCGTCCCGTCCCTGGCTCCTGTGAGCTCTCAGACGGTCCACCCCAAAGCCTGCTTCTGCCTCCCTGGGGCAGCCCTAAGCTGCTGGCGGGATGGCCCAAGGATGGCCCAAGGATGGCCCAGGGATGGTCCAGGGAGCGGGGATGCTGTGCTTACAGCGAAGGGTGGCTGCTTAGGGGTCGCCGCGGAGGCCATGGGCCTGGCGGGCTGGCAGGGGTGGATGGTGGGGCCCGGAGCCCCACCCTTGGCCGGCACGCCTTGCCCCTCGTGGAACAGGGGTTGGACAGCCCCTTGGCAGTCGCGGGCGCTGCGCTCCTGGGGAGAAAGCACAGCTGGTCAGTGTGTCCTGGCCTGGGGCTCTGGGCCAGGGACTCAGGGGCTCCCCTGTGTGTCCCTCAACCAGCAAGACGGGGCAAGGTCCCGAGGCAGCTCCGAGGCGGCGGCCCAGCATGCGCGGTGGAGAGCCGCTCCTGCAGAGCCCCCATCTTCCCAGGTGTTCTGGCACCAACTCGGGTGTAGACGGAGGAGCTCTGTCTGGGTCACCACCTCCGCCTGTCACCAGCGCTTGTCACCTGCACCCTGCCCCGCTCAGGGAGAGGCAGAGGCCCGAGGCTGCCTCTCTTCATCCTCCCGCAGCAGCAGGGCATTTCCCAACCGTGTGAGCACGGGAAGCGCTCCCTGCAGGTGATGGTATTTTGCAACCCGCAGCGGACTCACCTCCTACAGGTGGGGATCCAGCCCTTCCGGTAGAGGAGCATGGCCACCAGGAGCGCCAGAGCCAGCAGCAGCACGAACATCAGCACGCCCACCAGGAGGTCCCTGGACCCTGTGGGGTGTGGGAGGCCAGGTGTCAGAGAGCCCCGAGTCGAGTCGAGGACTGCAAACCCAAATCCTTAGCAGTGCCCCGAGGGGCCTGGGGGCACAGGGTGTCCTCCACCCCGCCCGGTGCCTCTGAGGGAGGACCCCATCAGGCTGTGTAGGCATGAAGGCCCCAGGGCGGCCGGGCCCACCTGTGTGCCTGTGCGGCAGCAGCTCTGTGCAGTAGGGGGGCGCCCAGCCCGGGTGGCAGTGGCACTCGTCCTTGTGGTTGCACACCTGGGGGTGAGTGGGGGTCAGGGCCCGGCCTGACCGGTGGGGCCCTGGGACAGGCCGTAGGGTCTGCTGAGGGGCACCCCTACCCCCTGGACCTCCACACCCCATCCGCTGCACCGCCCAGGGCCCAGCAGGCCAGGCCTCAGGCCGGAGAGGGGCTCTGCTGTGGCCCCGCCGATGGAGCTCCGCCGTGGGGCTGCCATAACCAAGGGCTACGTCAAAGGTGCTGACGGCAAGGCGAGCACGTGAGGCCTGCGGGGCACACCCCAGCCCCTGCCGTTCCGAGCTCTCAGGGGCCGACTGTCCCCGCATCACCTCACGAGTTATCGGTTATCAAGAGCTGATCGCGCTAGTCCATGTTCCGGATCGTTTCAAGCCTGCGCAGCCTGTGCCCGTGTGTCCACCGGCACCACTGCCCTGGACCTCTGTGCTCACCGGGGACGCCCAGTCCCCCCAGTTCCAGCCAGCAGGCCCGGCTGGGCCTCTCACACGCCCCCAGGGCGCTGGCTCTGCCCCTGCCATGCCTGGGCTCGCCCCCAGCCCGGCCCACCGGTCTCCTTCAGCCCCAGGGGGCAGGTGGCGGGATGTCCCCGGGCTCACGTACCCCATGGTTGTTGCACTGGGCGGAGCAGTTCCTGGATCTGTAAACTTGCAGGTGCTGGCAGAGTCCTTTCCAGCAAATCTGGGGGGCAGCAGGGGGCTCCTTAGGCAGACGTTCCAGACCCACCTCCACCGGCGGCTGAAGCCGACCATGGCCACTGCCTCCAGGGTCGCCCGGTCCCCGCTCCGTCTGCTGGCCAGCCAAGCCCACTGCCGTGCCCGGGGCCAGAGGCCTGGCCTCCGCCATGCCCAGGGGCGTGGAATGCAGGGCAGAAGGGTCTTCAAGCCCCGGGAACTAAGGGCAGGGTTTCCGGAGCCCCCCACCCCCCGCCCCTGCTGAGTCTCTACTGGGAACATAGAGGAATCTGTGTGCACGGCCCTTGGACCAGGGGCTCGCCCACGAGGGACGTGTGTCTAGGACCTGGAGGTCCAGCAGCCTGACCGCCTCATAGGACACGTCCAGGCCCACGTCTGGGTCACAGCCAGCCGATGCCCTGTCCTCACCCTGTCCTCGCCGCACCGGGTGCCCTCAGGCACGGGCTCATACCGAGCACCTCCCTCCAGGACGAGAGCCTGGCAGGTGCCCGTGGGGAAGGTGAGGGCGCAGGCACTCCGTTCCAGAGGCTTCTGTCCTCCCTCACAGTAAAGGACGCCACACTTGTTGACTCTGTGGAGAGGAGCATGCCATGCCGCCAGCCCTGCTGGGTCTGCTGCCCGGGGCACGCAGACTCCCCCCTTTGGAGGACCCGGAGGGCTACACGAAATGGGGCCCAGAGCCCTGGGACAGGCCATAGGGTCTGCTGCGGGGCATCCCTGCCCCCTGGACCTGTACCTACCCAGGCCCAGCCCCAGGGACGCAACCCTCCCTCCCACGAGGGCAGATGCTCAAGCCTGGGGGTCCTGGGGGCGGGTGGACCCCCTGGAGAGCCCCTGCTCCCCCCGATTCAGGGCAGCCTCTTGGGCAGCCCCACGCACAGGGACAGCCTGTGGCCCTGGACCCAGGGGAGCCAGCCATGGATGAGCACTTACCTGCTGGAGCCAAGAAGGAAACTGCCCTGGCAGCCTGGAGAGAGGCTGTGGGCGTAGCATGTCTCAATGGCAACCCGGGAGCCTGTGGGGGCCAGGAGGTCAGTCCCCCAGCTTGGGACACGCAGCCCCCTGCAGGCCTGCGGGTCCACGGCCAGAGCGCACAGGCCTCACCTGTCCCCCACAAGTCCTGGCACCTCTGGGCCAGCGAGGGGCAGACCCCATTGTAGCAGTAGCCTCCTGGGCAGGGCGTGCCGTTCTCCTGGAAGGCGTCCTCCGGGCACGCTGGCTGCTGGCCATCACAGTACTCCTCAAGGTCACACGCATCCTTTGGGGGGCGGCACAGCTCACCGGCAGGGGTCACCTGCGCAGCGGAGCAAAGCTCACGTGGGGAACGCAGGCCCCCACAGACCCACGCCTGCCCTGCTCTGGGCCATGTCCTCGGCCCCCCCCACCCCTGGCCGGGGGGCGGCACTCACCCTGCACTCGCGGCAGCAGGCGCCCTGCGCACACTCGGCCCCCGCAGCCAGCCGGCAGGTGGTGGCGTTGCAGCAGGGGTTCTGACAGGCCTGGGGAGTGGGGCAGGGCCCCGCAGAGGTGGGAGTGGGCTCCGGGCTGACCCGGGACGCCCTCCAGAAGCCCCCGCGGCTGGTTACCCGAGTCAGAGCACGCGGATGGGGCGGGCGCCCTCGGCCTGTACCTGGGGCGGGCCGCAGTCGCACTGCTCCCCACGCTCCAGAAACCGGTTCCCACACACGGGGTCGCCCACCAGCCGGTCGGGGTCCGGGGCGTTGGCCAGGCAGGCCGTCCGCGGCTTCTCCATGAAAACCTCCAGGTCCGTGCGGCTGCAGTGGCTGAACATCTTAGGGAACTCGGTGCTGGGGGTGCAGGGTGGTGCCTGTCAGGGGGTGGTGGGGGCGCCCAGGCAGCCCGCCCTGCGCACAGCCCCTGGCCTCACCCGATGCTGGCCGCCATGACACAGCCGCCGCCCTCCTGGGGCACCGGGCAGTAGCAGCCTTGAATGTTGTCGTCGTGGTCCATGCCCAGGTTGTGGCCCATCTCGTGGGCCATGGTGGACGCCACGCCGACCGGGTTCCCGAGGCTGTGGTCCTAAGGGAGAGGCCGCGGGGCTGATGCTCCCGCCCGCCGCCCGCCCCGACCCGGGCTGGGCACTGCCCCCCAACACCTCCTAAAGCATCGGCGCGTCCTCCCGGGGAGGCAGGTGCCCTGACCCTCCTCGCCCAGACCCCCTCCGCACCTGGTTCACAGCCCCCGACTCCCGGGAGCACATGGCCGACACCTTGGCCAGTCCCACGGTGGTCCCGGTGAAGTCGACCCCCCTGAAACAGCAGTGCACCAATGTGGACGCCCCGAAAACTGCCTCCCTCCCTGGGTTAGGGTCTGGGCTCTGCGCCTGGCACCGAGCACCCAGCACGCCCCGCCCACTGCCGACGATGCCCCGCCCCCGCCCGGCGCCCCGCCCAGCGCCCCGCCCACTGCCGGCCATGCCCCGCCCCCGCCCGGTGCCCCGCCCACTCCCAGCCATGCCCCGCCCCCTGCCCCGCCCACTCCCGCCCATGCCCCGCCCCCCGCCCACTACCGAGCCGGGGATGGGGGCGCCCTCGGCTCTGCGCCCAGGCACCTCCCCCGTCCCCGTCCCCCGTCCCCGTCCCCCCGCCCCGCCCACGTACGTGATGAGCTGTGCGTTGTCGTGCTGGTGCCGCCCCACCAGGTTCTCCACCCGCCACCGGAGGAAGTTCTCCAGGGTGGTGTCGGGGTTGGGGCTCACGTGAATCTCGTCCCCATGGTTCCAGATCTGCAGGCCCACCAGGAAGACCCGGAAATCGAGCTCCTGGTAGAGCTGGGAGGGCCGGAGAGCGCGCGGTCAGGCTCAGGGACAGCGGAGCCCCTGCCGCACCCCGCCCCCCCCCCCCCCCCCCCGTCCCCCGCGGGGAAGCAGCTCCCACCTTGTCCACGTGGTTCACGACCTCCAGCACCCGGCTGCGCACGGCGGCCCTGCTCCCCAGCTTCTGGAACTGCAGGGCGGCGGACCCTCAGGGGCCGGTGTCCCATCCGCCGCCCCGCTCCCAGCCTGCCCACCCCGACCCCCAACGGCCTGCCCCCCACGGCCTGCCCCCCACTACCTCTGTGCTGTCCACCACCACATACAGCTCCACGTATTGGGTGTCTCGGGCCAGTGGCCGGTTCTGGAGACACAAGAAACTGGTCAGCGGCCCCAGCCACAGTCCCCCTGGCCCTGGCCGGGTTTTCACACAGTGACCTGTACTCGGGTCCTGTGGCGGGCACCCTGCTCAGGACTCGGGGTGCCCACCCAGAGGCTCCAGTACGGGCTCAGGAGCGACCTCTGTAGCCACCGGCGAAGCCAGGCCCATCGGCCACAGGGACCACACGGAGATGCCCAGGCCGTGGGACTGGGGACGGCAGGTAGAAGCCCCCTGAGCCGGGCACAGGGGCGGTCGGGATGCGGGGTCCCTGTGCCCAGGGGTGGGGAAGCGGGCCCGGGCCTGCCCTCACCCGGGGCCGGAAGGCCGCCGACACCCGAGGCCCCAAGGCCTTCTCCAGGCTGCTGTCGCTGACCCCGCAGGTCCCGGCCTTCCGCAGCAGGTGCTCCGCTCGGTACAGCGCGTGCTGCCCCTCTTCACCGCCCCCCTCCAGCGGCTCGATGAGGTGCACGGTGGAGCCAGCCCGGAAGAAGCCCCTGAGGGCAGAGGGGAGCCAGGGGCTCTGAGTCAGCATGTGCGCCGGCCCGAAGGGCAGGGGCTCCTCTGGGGGCTCCCCCCACGCTGGGAGGGTCGGGGAGCTGCACACGGAGGGGGGGGGCATCCGGCCCAGGGAGCCCGCAGCCTGGGACCTGTGACGCCAGCGACCGGTGCCAGGTGCCAGCGATGGTGATGCCCGCGGCACGAAGGTCGCCACGCCCAGCCGGGCCCTCCTCCCTCCTGACCCCCCCAGCTTCTCTAGAGCGGTGGGGACGCCAGGCCTCCCCCGGTGTGCGGCACCCACCTGAGGCCCGCACAGGTGCTGAGGCTGGCGGCGGAGTCCTGCTGGCCCTCCACGTGGCCCTGGTAGAAGCAGTGATCCTGCGGGAGGGAGGGGGCGTGAGGGGGTGTGAGGGGGCGCACCTGGGCCCCCCTCTGCCCGCCCCCGGAGGGCTACCCTGGGGCTCATACCTGCCCTTGTACCTGCTCCACCACCTGGGAGCCGTTGGCAGCCCTGTAGGTCTCAGTGTAGCCCGAGCCCACCAGGTCCCTGGAAAAGAGCCACTGTGATGCCTTGGGCCCCCCTGTCCCCCCCAGAAGCTGCCGCGGGCATGGAGGAGAGGCTGGGCCAGGGAGCCACATGCCTAGGACGTGAGGATGCTGGGGGGCAGGGGTGGGACCAGCCTGGGGTGCTGCAACCCCTCCACTCACCTGTTCTTCCGCAAGTGCAGGGTGAAGGTGTGCTCTTGGGCCCCAAGGACGTAGCTCACACTCTCTGGGTACAGGTCCTGAGCCTGGGCACAGAGAGGGGTCCAGCGTGAGGGGCCTGCCCCCTGAGATCTGAAAGCCCCTCATGGGACCCTGGGGGTGTTCAGCGTTGGGCTAGTATTAGGAAGCTGGGGCCGGGCAGGCTGGAGCTCTACCTCAGTCTCCCCATCTGGGCACACAAGTAACCACGAGGATCCCGTTCCCCCGGGAGCAGGGGGAGGGGGAGACGGCGCCCCCTGGCAGCCCTGATCCAAGGTAGCAGAGATGGGGGCAGGCACCTGATGGAGCACCCCAGGGCAGTGACCTCTTGGGACAGGATGGGGCGAGGGCCCAGGCAGTAGAAAGCCTTCCCCGGACACTGGGGTCAGGACGGTGCTGTCCCTCACGCACCCACACCCATGTGGGTTTCAGGAATGCCCCAGGCCACCTGGCTTGGGGAATCCCAGCCTGAGGTGTGTCACCACCAACAGGCAGGGTGAGCCATCCCCTCCGGCCCTACTGGAGGACTTTGACTAATCCAGCCAGAGAGTGAAACTGGGCCCACCCCCTCCCGAGGGCAGGGTGAGGCAGGATGCAGGGAGGGGAGGCCTGGGGGTGGAGGGAGCCCCGGCAGAGGGGCAGAGGCGCCTCACCGCTGGCTGGGGCTGGGAGCTTAGCGGCACCAGAGGCTCCGAGGACCCAGGACAGAGCCCCCAGGCCAGCATCCTGGGGAGACCTACCAGGTGGGAGGGCAGGGCTCGGCGGGCTCGGGGCGCTGGCAGACGTCGGGGCCACACCACCTCGTACTGCTCCACATGGGGCAGGGGGGGCCTGGGGGCGGCCACTGCGGGAGAGAAGGGGCTCAGCGGGCCTCCTGGGGCGTCCCGGGAGACCTGGCTCCCCTGCCCTGGGTGGGGCCAAGCGGGCTGCCGCGGACGGCTCCTCCCCGAGGCCTCAGGCCGACCCTCCTGGGGCCCGGGGGTAGGTCTGGCCATCCTGCCCGTCCCAGCGTACCCCGTAACTGCACCCACCTGAGGAGCCCACCTGAGGAGCCCCTGGGCCTGCCTGCAGGTGGTTCCCCTGCCCGGATCCAGGGCTCCTGGGGACCCCACCACAAACAAGCCTGGGAGTGGGGGGAGGACCGGAGCTGGAGCTTCCTCCACAAGTCACCCGGCGAGACTCAAGACTCCACTTGGTCTCTCTTAGGGTGTTAACCGGAGCGTCTCCCACCATCACCGCCCACCCCGGGAGAATGGGCCCCTCCAGCCTGGAGCTGGGAGCCACGGAAGCCAGCCCAGAAAGCTCCCAGCAGCAGCGGCCGCGGGACGGAGGAGGGTCCCCACGTGGCTAGGCCACCCCTCTCCCTCTCTCTCCTGCCTACCTACCCCCCAGCTTCAGGTCACTGCTCCCCAGGCTGGGGGCTCTGGGCGGAGGGGGCAGTCACCCCAAGGCTCCGGGGGGAGATGAGTCGCCACCCCACCAGCGCTGGAGAAATGCCCCAGGCGGCTTCTCCCCAGTTCCCCTTTGAAGTTCCGTCTGCCACCTTGGGCCCTGCCGGTGACGGCTCCCCGCTGCGCGCCCCACCCGCCGCTGACCCAGAGCTGGGTGCCGGAGGCCAGGGGACCTGCGCGCGCCCAGGACGCCGGCCCCTCGCCCACACTCACCTTGCAGACACAGCGCGAGCAGCTGGAGCCCCAGGCGGCGCATGGCCCGGGCGCGCTCCGGGCGCACGGTGGGGATCCGGGGCCGGACCGGGGGGAGCGCGGGGATCCGGGGCCGGGACGGGGGCGCGCTCCAGGCACGCGGCGGGGATCCGGGGCCGGGCCGGGACCTGAGCGCCGTGTGCGGGATCCGGGTTCCAGGGACGCTGCTGGCGGGAGGCGGCTCTGTGCTGGGGACTAGGTCGAGCCTCGGTGCCCCGCCCCGAGAGAAGAGCCCCTGGCCCGCAGCTTATCGGCCCCTCTGACGCCGGGAGGGGCGGGGCTTGGGGCCCACGGGGTGGGGCTCGCTCTGGGGTTCCCTGCGTCCCTCCTGGGCCCCTGGGGGCTCCTGATCGGCACCTGGCGCCCAGCATGGGGCGGGGGGAGGATAGAATGAACCGAAGGGTGGCGGACAGACTAAGCCGGCCCCTCCTTGCAAGCCCGCGCCCTGCCCTGCCCCAGGCAGGTGAGGAGGCACAGGGTTGCCCTCAGGCCTGCTGGCCCAGTGGCCGCCAGGGGCTTGGGCGCGGCTGTGGGTGGTGGCAGGGGGTGTTCAGGTGTGGATGCGCCCTCACTTCTGGGGGAACAGAAAGCTGCTCACACAGCACCCCGAGCCTCTTCCTGCCCTGCGGGAAGGCAGCTGCCACGCACCCTGGCTTCTCTGGTGGGTCCCTGTCACCTGGGCCGCCGCCCCCCCCCCCCCCCGACCTCCTAAAACTGAATCTCCACGGTGCAAGGCGCCCAAGCCGTGCTCTGGACACGCTCCCTGGGGGACGGCACATCAGGTGTGAGCGTGTGTTGGCCAGAGGTCAAAGTTTAGCAGATCAGCATTTCCCCCAAAGCAAATGGCATAAAAAAAAAAGGGCAGGAGGGGCTGCAGACTGTGAGCAGCCCGAGCAAGGGTGACAGGCTAGAGGCGGTCTGGACGCAAAGGCCCTCCCCCGCGTCCCCGCGCTGACACACCACTTCCCCTTTCCAACAAGGTATGGGAGCCCCCTCCTTCCCAGCGATCTTGATCTCATTTCCTTCCTTGTGTGTCGCAATTATTTAAGAAAAAGTCAAAGGCAAAGCCCTGTATCGGCAAAACCCAAAGCCGCTGTGGATGCACCAGCGCCCCAGGCAGCTGACCGGGCCGCCGCGTGCAGCTGACGCCAGCAGCCAGGAGCAGCACGGCCTCCTCCCAGGACGCAGGACCCCACGCAGCCCACAGAACCCGCCTCGTGCCCCCTTCCCGCCCTCCCCACCTGCTGGTCCCAGGCACCAGGCTTGCCCAGAGCCCGGGACCAGGACACAAGGTTCCTGGGCCACAGGGCAGCACAGGAGGCCCCAAGCCGAGGGCCAGGGTCTGCTCTGCTCTCAGTGCGAGGTTTGCACTTCGGGGCTCTGCGCCTTCAGCCCACAGGCCACCCCCGGGCACGCTGCAGATTGGAAGAGGAAGCAGTCTGGCTTGCAGGGGGAGCTGCGGCCAGGCTGCAGGTGCCCACACCCCTGCCCTGAGGGGGGACCCAGCCTCCAAGAACCTGCTTCTCATTCCTCCTTGCCTGCCAGGACTCCCCCACCCCCAAACAGGTGGTCAGAGCTGAACTGGGACAGTGACACAGGACCTCTGGCAGGTGGGCAGCATGGTGGGAGCACCAGAGCAGGGGGGGGTCCCAGCTGTGGGGCTGGATGGGGTCAGGTCCCAGCCACCACCTTGGGCGCTCCGCAGGGCTCACACGGCCGGGGCCTGCGAGAGCTCGAGGACCGGGCTGCCCCCTAGCGCTGGAGCCCGGGAGCCCAGGACAGTGTACCTGGCCAGGTGTGGACACCTGGACACCTGAATCCTGTGCCCTGTGTGGATCTTGGTAACTGTCTCCGTATTGCTCCACGCCATGTGTTTCACTTTGTCTTTATTCGGGAACAAACACATTATAAAAAGTCCCCCTGCACAACTGAAGCTCACGGAGGCACGGCTGCGGACACACCCACTCTGGTGGGGGGTGGCTGCCGCAGAGCGGAACCCGGGACCCCAACAAACGAGGGCAGCGAGAGGGGCCACATCCAGACTTTAAACGGTAACAGCACGTGGTTCGGTGATACTCAGGTAAAAGCTTCTGAGCTCCTGTCTCCGCAGCACCTGCAGCCTCACTGAGCGGGGACGGCGACCCTGGGCGCTGATGCTGGGGGGGCCCGCGGGACGGACACCTGGGGGGCTGCCTTCTGGCTCCTCTCTGCAGACAGGCGCTCCAGCCGCTCCGTGTAGAAGCCATTGAAGTCCAGTCTGAGGGAGGAGAAGACCTGGCTCCTGCAGACGCCCCAGAGGCCCCGCCAGCCAACACGTCCACCCCTAGGCAAAGGGTCAGCTCTGCCTCGGGGGTGAGGGACGCCCACCACACAACTGCCGCCCCTGGTTTAAGCGATCCTGACGTCAGGACTTGAACACATGCACACTGAAGGCAAGACAACCCAAACCCGACGAGGGGTTCGGGCAGCGGCATCCCCAGCAGAGAGCCTGTCCGCCCCCCTCCCCTGGATGTGGGGCCGGCCCAGGCTGGGGGCACCTCCCAGGCCCTGTACTTAGGACATCAGACAGCCCCCAGCCCGGGTGCCCTGGGAACCAGCTGGCGACTGCTTCTCCCCCACAGAGCAGGGCGTCCAGGATCCTGCCAGGCCCACTGGTGGTGCGAACCTGCCCCAGAGCCACAGCCTGGCTGCCCAGCCTGACCCCCTGCACCTGTCCTCCCCAGTGAGCCCTCCTGAGTCCTCAGGAATGTGCGGCCACACCCCAAGAGTGTGCAAGGCACCTGCACCCCAAGAGCCCAAGCGCAGGGAAGGAGGGAGTGACTAAGCGCTGCCATGACCCCGCTGCTTGCTCCCAGTGACTTCCTGGTCGAGCAGCACCGCGGGTCCCATCCTCCCTTGCCCACACCCTGGCTGCTCATGTGAACGTGGGTGATGCTACTGCCGTGTACGGCCCAGGCTGGGGGGCCCTCCAGTGTTCAGGATCCCAGCTGGGGGCGCAAAGCGTCAGGGAGGCCGACGCAGCCCAGCTCAGGGACCAACGCTGGGGGCACGGACGGGGCAGCCTGACGCCCTGACGCACAGCACAGCGGGGCACACACAAGGGGACACAAACTACCGCACACGCCCATCGGTCACTTCAGGGAGGGAGGAGTGACCAGCAGCACATGGGACGCGAGGGGCAGACCTCAGCCCGCACACCTGAGCAGACCCAGCGGGGGCAGCGCACGGGAGGCACCCACCTGGAGATGACGCTGGCCATGCTGTGCTCACAGTCGCTGGTGCTGTAGAGGCTCAGCCTGGCCAGGAGGTCAAGCAAGTGCGCCGAGAAATTCTTATCAAACTTGTTGATGGTCGCCTCGAAGCTGGATGCCAGCTGAGGGGCGTCCACGTGCTCCGCCAGGTACTGGAAGGCACGGTCGGGCACCATGAGCGCCCCTGGCCCGACCGCGGCTCTCTACCAGCTTGGCTTCCCTTTCCCCTCCCTTGTCACAGAAGGGGTCTGGGGGAGTTTCCATGTGACGGAAGGTAAGGGGGCCTCAGAGAAGTTCCTGAGACGGCGGGACACAGACACGCTCTGGCTGGGCAGCGGGCGCCCTGCCCTGCTCCCACCACCACATGGAAGCAGGTCCACGCACCTCAGCTGTTCTATACGTGGCCCAGATTTTCAAGTGAAAACGGCGATTCCTCCCAGCGCCCTCTCAGCAAGGGAGTGGCCTGGGAGCAGGGGCCCGGGCGCCGTCCAGAGTGGGGCTGGTGCCCAGAGACGCCTGCCCTTGCAGCGAAGGCTGGACCCTGACTGGTGACCGCAGGGACCTCCGCAGGACACCCAGCCCTGCCCCGGACACTGCGGCCTCGCCCTGGAGCACAGAGGACCCGAGGACGGGACGGTCCGGGGAGGACACCACCTAGGGCGTGTCTAGGTTCTAACGAGAATGAACTTGTTGAATCAAAGGGAAGACAGAGCAGAGGGCGGCAGCGGGACTGCTTCCCGGGCGGCGGCCCCAGCACGGCCGGACGCAGCTGCAGGCCACGTACCTTCCTGGCGAGCTCCTTGCGGGCGCGCTCCTCCGCCCGCTCAGCCTCCGTGGGCGGCCCCAGCATCGTGCCGCGCTCCAACGTCAGCCGGCCCAGCTCCCCGTCCAGCTTCATGCTCTGCGTGAATTTCTTGGGGTCAGAAAGAGACGCTGCTGTCAGTTTCAAGGCGCCCGGCCCAGGTGAAGCACGAGCCAGTGCACAGCTGGGGGGGCCTCTGCGGATCCGGGGGTGCAGGGGCCCTCACGACTTCCAAGGGCGCCGTCAGACGGCTCGTCAATGCAGTCTCGTCAAGACGGCATCTCCCCAGGGCGAGCCCCATATGGACCTGGTTCCCAGGCTCCTGTTCCCCCACACTGGCCCCCACCTTGCACGCTCTCCTGCCGGCCCCGCCAAGACAGACCCCCCAGGTCCCGAAGCCCTGGTGAACCCCCGTGTCACCCCCGCCTCCCAACACTTAGTTCCTGTGCCAGCACTTTGGGGCCACTGCTTATAACTGAAACAAACACCTTCCGTGGGACACCTCCTGTGGGACAGAGAGCGCCGGGAGCCCAGAAAAGGCTCGGGAAAGCGGCCCAGCCCACGCCGGCAGGCAGGGGTGGGTGGCCTGCGTGGCGGCGCACCTGCATGCAGTTGGTAAACATGACGCACACGGACATGAGTCTGGAGAAGACTTTGAGCAGCTCGGGGTTGGTCAGCATGCAGTCCTTCAGACAGTTGTCCAGGAAGCTCGTGTGGTGGCCCAGCACGTCGTCGATGTTGGATGCCTGCGTGGAGAGAGGGCACCTGCCATGGCTCCCGGCACGACTCTGTGCAGGAACCAGACCCCACGCGGGCCAGGCTGCGGCTGTGGCTTTGCATGTCCTTGCCCCCAAAAGTCCACAGTTCTGGTTCTTAAGCACAGAAAGCAAGAAGGGAACGGTGCTGCTGGCCCTCACGCTTCTGGGACGCACCGACAGGCCCCAGGATGTGCCGCGGGGGCCGCCCCATCCCTGAGGCTCTCTGCATAAGCTCAAGAGCCAGGCGCCCCCGCCCCCAACACTCGCACACCCTCGCCGCGCCCACCCAGAAAGCTCCCGTGTGTACAGAGGGCTCGCCTGCTCCTCAGCAGCCGGGGGCCGGTGCGGCACTCAGCCCCTGGCACCTGGCCCACGCCGTTCCCGTGAGACCCT